GTGCAGTGGCACGATCTCAGCTCACTGCAACTTCTGCCTCCTGGGTTCAAGCAATTCTCGTGCCTCATCCTCCTGAATAGCTGGGATTACAGGCCCACCACCATGCCTGGCTAATTTTTGTATTTTTAGTAGAGACGAGGTTTCACCACGTTGGTCAGGCTGATCTTGAACTCTTGACCTTGGATGATCCACGTGCTTCAGCCTCCCAAAGTGATGAGAACACGGGTGTGAGCTACTGCACTGCCTTGGTGTCATTTCTAAGAATCCATTGCTGAATCATATGTCATGAAGATTTACCAGTTTTTTCCTAAGAGTTTTATAGTTTTAGCTCTTATGTTTAGGTGCATCATTCATTGTGATACTTTTTGTATATAGTTGTTAAGGGTCAAACTTCATACTTTTACTTGTGAACAGTCGGTTCTCCCAGCATCATTGTTACAAAGGATATTCTGTCCCACAATTAATGGTCTTGGAACTCCTGTCAACTATCTGTTAACCTTGGATAAATTATTTTTGGACTCTCAATTCTATTCCATTGATCTATATATCCATCTTTATGCCAATATTACACTGTCTTTATTGCTGTTGTTTTGTAGTAAGACTTGAAATCAGGAATTGAAATCAGGACCAGAGTCCTTATTCGTTTTTTTGTTGTGGTGATTCCTGAAGTTGTTTGCATCTATTTTTATGAGGAATATTCATCTGTAGTTCTCTTTTCTTGTAATATTTATGAGGTTAATGCTGACCTCATACATGTCATTAAGAAACGTTTCCTTCCTTCTTTGCCTTTTTCTGAGTTGGAATAGGATTGGTATTATTTTTTCCTTCCTTTGTACCCAAGGGAAAGGGATAAACGGGGTGGTTGTGGTTGGAGATGCAGGATGGGAAGTCAGGTGGCAAGTTTGGTGGGGAGGGGGAGGTAATGGTGGTGGGGAGTCAGAGTTCTTCTCCCCAGGGAGTTTCGGGGTGGACTGATAGAAGGCAGTTGTCTCCCAGAGAAAGCAATAATATCCATTTATGTTTAGTTTGTGTCCTCACTTAATTCATGTGTTGAAATTCTAGAGGGATCCTGTATTAGTCCTTTTTTCACACTCAGACATACCCGACACTGGGCAGTTTACAAAAGAAAGGTTTATTGGACTTACAGTTCCACGTGGCTGAGGACATCTCACAATCATGGTGGAAGCGGCAAACGAGAAGAAAGCTTGTGCAGAGAAACTCCACTTTTTAAAACCATCAGATCTCCTGAGACACACTCACTATCATGAGAATAGCATGAGAAAGATCCGCCCCCATGATTCAATTACCTCCCACTGGGTCCCTCCCACAAAACATGGGAATTGTGGGAGTTACAATTCAAGATGAGATTTTGTTGGGGGCACAGGCATACCATATCAGATCAGAGGCGGTGGCTTCCGCCTGTAATCCTGGCACTTTGGGAGGCCGAGGCAGGCAGATCACTTGAGCTCAGGAGTTTGAGACCAGCCTGGGGAACATGGGGAAACCACATCTATACAAAAAATTAGTCAGGCATGGTGGCACACATCTGTAATCTCAGCTACTTGGGAGGCCGAGGTGGGAGAATAACTTGAACCCAGGAGGCAGAGGATGCAGTGAGCTATGACCATGCCACTGCACTCCATCCAGCCTGGGTGACAGAGCAAGACCTTGTCTCAAAAAAAAAGAAGAAAAAAAGAAATCAGAATCCCCAGGATGTGATATGAGGTGGGGTCTTTGGTAGATGACTAGGTCAGGAAGACAGAGCTCTTATGAATGGGATCAGTTTCCTTTTAAAAGACCCTCCAGGGGAGTTCCCTTGCCCCTTCTACCAAATGAGTCCACAGCTAGAAGACAGCCAACCTCATAAGAGGCCCCCACAAGTCCCTGAATCTGCTAGCACCTTGTTCTTGGACTTCCAGCTCCAGAACAAGAAATATATTGTCATTGTTTATAAGCCAACCCTTCTATGGTATTTTTGTTTCAGCAGGCTGAACAGACTAAAACACATGGGTAGTAGTAACCTCTGCAAGATTTCCCAATAGACATGGGAGTATAGGGGTGTACATTTTGGCAGACAGCGGGGAGTATGCCAGGATTATGGGCTAGGGAAACAATGAGCTCAGAAAATGCTATAGAACCCTAATATCAAAAGACGAAAAGCAATAAATGTCCTGTGTCAAATTTGTCAGCACCTTAGGCAGACCATGGGCATCTCTGGGCAGTGATCTCAGTGCCTGAGGTAATGTTGTCTCCATGCAGGGAGCAAAGTCATCTCCAATGGTGAGGTAGCCCCAGGGTGACAAGGGTGGGTGTGTGGTGATCCAGATTGTGAGAGCTCAACAAGGTAGGTGATTGGGGTGTGGACTTAATTCACTGCTCAAAAAGGGAGAACTCTTGGGGCACGGTGAGTGAGTCACTGTGAGGCCTGTAATCCCAGCACTTTGGGAGGCCAAAGTGGGTGGACCACCTGAGGTCAGGAGTTCAAGACCAGCCTGGCCAACATGGCAAAACCCTATCTCTACTAACAACAACAACAAAAAAAATTAGTGGGACATGGTGGTGCACACCTGTAACCCCAGCTACTCAGGTGGCTGAGGCAAGAGAATCACTTGAACCTGGGAGCTGGAGTTTGCAGTGAGCCGAGATCGCACCACTGCACTCCAGCCTGGGCAACGGAGAGGGATTTTA